GATCTGTATCTCAGAACGTTTGAATATAATCCCCAGAGAAAATGCAGCCTTCAGTGGCAGGAATAAATTGACATCAGTCATGATGAGGGATTTATTTCAATGCAGTGTACTGAATGAAGTACTTCGGCGTCAGTATTAATGACTGTTTCGCCCACAAAACTCACAGTCAATTCACTTTACAATACATTCTGTGAAGCACTTTGAGACGTCGTAACAACGTGATAAGGTGCTATATCAAATTCAAGGATTATTATCATAATGCACAGAATGTACTTAAACACATCTTTACTTCTGTCAAGTACATCACCTAGATATCATTTCTTAACAGTTAAAGTTCTTCGTGGATTTTGGACATGTTCAGGGTCCTCTTTGCATCTATCCTCATAACTAAGATTATGTCTAGTGTTGGTTTCAATGTGGGCATTTGATTTCAAGCCAATTGCTGGATTAATGACTTCAAAGAAGCCATCTGGTAAGTTTGACAGAGGTTACATTATAGCCAGGAAACTATAAACCCCTGGAAACTATAAAATGAATGACGCCTAGATTGCAAAGATTATAAAGAACGTACAGCACGGAAACAGGCCACTCGCTCCAACCAGCCCTGTTCCACACAAGTCTTCAGCCATTTCTTATTCCCTCCAATACCCTTCTATTTGCCCTCATGAGGGAATCAGTCAAAGGTTTGCAGTCTCTTTCTGCGAAATTATTGTTTAATCAAGCCTCTTGCATTGAAAATCATCAATTTTCAACCACCCAAGACAATATCTGAAAAAAACTGTTCGATAGTGTTACCCAATTCACCGTTTACGTAACCGAATAAAACCTGACATTTGAATTTTTCTTAGTAAATTCACATAAAAAGTAATAGCAAATTAGTGCAACGTATCTATTTGGATGATTTTAAATATATCAAAAATTCATGACAAAGTACATAGCTCTAAATAAACAGTGGCTTTTTTTTATTTTGATAAATTAAATGGCTTATGTAGGTCAGCAAAGAAATCTGTTTTGCAATCTCTCACTCGTGGTTGGTTGCGGACTGTAATAATGATAAAATGTCATAACACATTATTACCAAACTGCCTCTGCTGTCCACAGCAACAGAGATAAAATTATCTCTCAAGGTCTGAGTGGCAAGAATAAAAATGACATTTGACGCAAGTGCCTACTGACAATTTGGATTCCACTAAACCCCAAGAACAATGATAAAAAAAGTTGTTTAAATACCTTTATGGCTACTTTTTTTTTATTTGTGCGAGAGTTTTATGTGTGAGAGGGAATTAAAACCGCTCAAAAATAAAAAATAAAACCTTGGTTAAAATAAAACCGTGGGCAATCCTTAATTCAGCACTGTGTTGCATGTGAATCAAGTGCAAGGACTATCAAAATGCAAATGTTTGAACCCAGTCTGTCTTTCGAAAGAGTAAGGCAGAAAACTGCTCCCCCAAGTCAATGTAATTAATAGTCGAGAGCACTTTTTTTGTACACAATACACTTTTGCAAGCTGTTAGCCATTCTTAAGAATCTTAAACTGAATTCAATGTTAATTTCAAAAATCTATTGAGAAGATGTCAGTTAGCTGTTTACCTCGCAGTAAGTAGGGACCCTGTTGTTTGTCGATTGGCGGATTGCTTTTCCGGGGGTAATAATTTTTTTTAAAAAATTATAATAAATTGGCCACTTCAATCCATGACTGGTTGTGGGACACTGCTGTGCACAATTGGCTGCCGCGTTTTGCCCACAACATATACACTCAATTCACTTTACAGCAAAGGTTATTATTATTATTGAAATTTTACTCAATACCTATCTCACCCAGGTACTCAGGATACAATGGCATTCAGATCATCTGTATGCTCCATTGCACCATGACTGAGGTGCAAAGTGTATGGTTGACGGAATGGTGTTGAATTTTCCTGAACCTCATGAGATTCACGTTCAGGAATAGATGTTCAAAACGAGGAGACAGTGGAGCAGACAGGAGATAATACAGCTGTCTATTGGGTTGTTTGTTGTTGTGTGAAATTGGCCACCACGATTTGCCCACAAAATACACAGTCAATCCACTTTATAATATACTCTGTGAAGCTCTTTGAGACGTCTCAATGCTCTATATAGATACTGCTCTACATCGAATGCAAGGATTATTATTATTAGTTTTTGAGCTGTCTGTCAATGCTCTATATAGATACTGCTCTACATCGAATGCAAGGATTATTATTAGTAGTTTTTGAGCTGTCTGTCTGCTTGTATTTGCAGTCTTTCCCAATGGCTCGTGGTCATAGAGTGCACAGAGAGCTTCCGAAAGCTACTTGCGCTACTTTTCAGACTAATTAACTCAGAAGTTTTGTCAACAAAGGTCACTAATTGAACAAAGCAACATTTTGTTAAGACAGAAGTTCCCATCCACAGTGCTGTAACTCTGACTGTTCCAAAAAGAGGCTTTGTTTCCACTCTCCCTTCTTGGGATGCAGCTTTAACTGAATCATCAATGAATCTTTTCAAATCATACAGTGGCAGTCCTGTGGCTTAGTGGTTAGAGCATTTTTTCTCGCAAGCGAGAGGACGTGGGTTTGATTCCCGGGCAGGGAGAAATGATGGGCAAATTTCCTTACTCCACACCCCTCTGTTTATCTAGCAGTAAAATAGGAACCCAGTTGTTAGTCAATTGTCGGATCGCTTTTCGGGGGTAACAATCCCTTAAAAAAAATTTGATCACTCATTCCACAACTGATTGTGGAACACTACTGTGTACAAATGGCTGCCGTGTTTCGCCCATAAAATATACAGTCAATTCACTTTACAGTATATTCTGTGAAACGCTTTGAGATGTCTGGAAGACGTGATAAGGCGCTATATCATATGCAAGGATTATTATTATTATTATTGGCTTAGTCATCTAACCATCTATCTAAATCATCCAACTGTTAGTGTAATACGATTACTGACAGTATCTGAAACAGTAAATACTATTGTTACTGACCTCTTGTGCATCATTTGATATATTGATACACATTGATGCACTTTCGCTGTCTAATCAGACTTAGTGGTTACTTTTTTCTAAAGCATTAACTGATTGTGAAAAAGATGTGCTGAAAGTAACATAAAATATTATAGTATTAAAGATGCAAAGCTATTGCTTGGATTATTCTGGAAACAGAGTTGTGTTTGGGATATGTGTGTGCTACACATGATGAGATTATTCGAGATCTGCGCTCCCCAGCCAAAAACACATCACTTCAATTTCAGCCTGCGTGCTGTAATGAAATACGAATTACTTCCATCCTTTGCGATTAAGAAACATTTATTCTGTAAATAACCAACAAAGCGGGGAAAGATACAGTGGAGCTGAAGCTTCTCAAGCTTGATAACAGAGCCATTAATTTTTTTCACAGAAATAAGTTCCAGTATTTCCTTTAGTTTTCACAAGTGTACCACAATTGGAGAACTTGCACAAAATAATGTTTTGCTTACATTTACTGAACCAATGCTCATTGTTAAAACACTTGCATAACACTCCTTTTAAAATAGTTAAGGTAACATTTTAAATACGTAATGTCACTATCCACATTTGTGCGTACCTTAGTTTAAATTGTTTCTCCTTTAACATACAACAACCAATAAAATATCATCTTACTGGCCAGTCGAACAAACCCTTCCACAAGGCATCACAGATTGCACCAACTAGTAATCATTTACAATGACAAAAAAAAATGTCACCTGTTAAATAACTCCTTGATAAATATTTATTTAAGGTATAGGTTGCAAATGGAAATAAAGCCTAAATTTACAAGAGGTACCATATATAAAAAAAATACATGCAGATGTTTGGGTTTTCTGGCACAGTCCAATACGTTACAACTGTGCTGTAATAAGATACACTACAGCTTGCTATCCACTGTAATCAAAACGTTATCCTTTGGCACAAAGATAGCTAGAGCATAAATGCAATATAAGAAGGGAGTATTAAAATTAAATCACCAGTAATGTTCAAGTATGAGGAAATCTGATAGCTTTCAGAAATTAGATGAATTTTCTAATATTCTCATAAAAGGTATTAGATGAGAGTGTGGGTACCACACATTTTTTAAGACTGATGATGCTTAAAGAGCTACCACTACTGTGCTCCTACATAAGCTGTATTCAAAACAACAGTATTAACAAATAAAAGTAACACATTTGCTTTCATCAACGTAGACCTTGTAGTAAACACCAAAGCAGTTTCCTTCAGGACTTTCAAAAGATTGTACAGCATTATATTTTACATGCCATTGGAGAAATCTGCAACTAGACAAACACTGCCATACTCCAATGGCTCTGGCCTTTTCCAAACAGTTACCATAGAATGAATGTAAAATAGCTTGTTACAAAACCTATATGTAGAATGGTTAAAGGCAAATATGTTTTAATAATCTTGAAATACAGCCTGTGCAAGCTTATAAAAATGCCACCTTTTAGACAACTGTTGCTCTAAAAAAAAACTTTCTTAAAAGGCATGATTATTAATGTGCTAGGGCTGCAATAAGTATAAAAATCTGTGATATAAATCCTGATCAGTGATCATTTACTGTTTATTTTACATTCGGTGGGAAAAATTGCATCCTGCTTTGTAATGTAAGTGATGCAAATTGAATGTATTAGGCATAGGCATAATTTGTATAAATCTGCAGGTTTGCCATCTGTATTTTCCCCATTGAAGGCAGCTTTCATTACGATTACGAAATCTGTAACGGATTATTGATCAAGCTATCAAATTGCAGCCCCAATAACATTTGCTATACACAAAGCTTTTACAAAACTGTTTTTAAGACCAAGTACCAATGGGGTACATTAATACTAACTAGAATTGTAACCGGGAAATAAATTCTAAACTGGCAATTACTGAACACAGCAGGACAGTAAAAGCAATCTGAAAATATAGAAATTGTTCGCTATATGAATACCTTATACTCAAAATGTGAGAAAATGCATTCACTGTATACCAAAGTAGCAATGTAGCAAATACTTTTTTCACAAGGCTCAGGCTTTGCCTGTGTGCTTTTATTAGTATTTAAAAATATTTGATCCATGCAGACATGTTTAGATATCAATAACTTTCCATTAATAAACACGAGGTGTGGCACACATTTAAAACAGCTTACTCCACATCTGTAACTACTGGCACTCAACATCAGTTTGGAACTGATTGTCCTTGCACAAGGATCTCGAATAAGCGTTCACTCTTTGTAAGCTCTGGTAGGCGATGTTCCCTTGTAGAAGATATTTCTTGTATTTTCCGGGCTGTTGCTTCTTTCTGGTATTAAAATGATATTACCTTTCCTCCTGAGGGTGGAGTCCCGACTGGAGGATATTGAAACTGTCTCGGAAGCTGCTTCGCTTCCTTCCACCGGTGTCACCCTGATGGTCGTGATGCCAGGGTGAGGGTGTTCAGCATTCTCAGGATTGGTTCTCTTTCTCTCGGAGGAAGCATAGCCGTCCTTTAACGATTCACTGCTTTCAGAGTCCCTGTTAAGGTCATTCAATTCATATGCTTGGCGAATGTTGGGTTTCTCATGAGCCTTCCATTTCCATGATCCACTCCCTTCACTGCCTGACGGTACTTGCACAAGAGGTCTGTTATTTTCTGGGTGAGCTTCCACCCTGACAATGTTACTAGGTTCATGCTCGGTCAACGTTTTGTACCGTATCGCCCCAGTGCAGGATACTGTACTGCCGTCTGTACTCTTGGGGCTGCCCTGCAACATGCCTTGCTGTTTGGACATTGCAATAACCTGCATAATTCTTGGTTGGCTGCTTGCCCTGCAGACACCACTCTTCTCAGCTACTTTCAGCCACTTTGACCTGGCTGAGGTGGGTTTAGGAGACGTATTTATGTTCTCTTGCGTTTCTTCAGGTATATGGACAAGCTGTGAAGAGCCTGGACGTGATTGCATGGAGATTCTCACCCCACCACCAATGCCAGCGGTATTGTTAGCCCCAGGGATACTACCAGGTTGGATTTTCAGATATTGGTTTAGTTGGGCTTGATGGTCTCCATTGACACCAACTCCTGATGGTTCTGAACTCGATCTCATCTCCATGGATCTCGGTGGCGAATGGCCAGTTTCTGTCTCCATCACTTGCAGGGACAGTTTCCGACTCTCATTCTTAGACTTCCATTGGGATAAGAGTTGCTTGGATCGGGCAGAATCCATAGAAGCATGAATGGCAGCATTCCTCCTGGCTGTATCATCTATTGATGGGGTGTTGACGCGTGGCAGTGTGTTACTGAAAGTCACCATGTTCTCCTTCGCCATTGGACTACGAGGGGTGATGATCTCAACGTCAGCACTCGTTCTTTTTAAGTTAGTAAGGGAGCTGGATTCTCTGTGGTTACGGTTCAGAATGCTTTCAGAATGGTGTGATGAGATCCCATCACTGCTACTGCCACCTTTAACTTGGAGTTGTCTGTTGCTCTCCTGGCTGAGATCTGTCAGTGACCTTAAAGGTTCTCGGTGATGGGTCTGATGAGCTATGCCATCATCACTGGCCTGGAAATTGCTGACAGCATAAAGACCCTAGGTGTAGAACAAAAAAAACACGAATGATAAAAGTGTGGGTCATAATAATAACAATCCTTGCATTTGATATAGCGCCTTATCATGTCGTTGAGACGTCTCAGAGCACTTCACAGAATATACTGCAGAGTGGAGGAACTGTGTATTTTGTGGGTGAAATTTGCGTGGTTAGTTTCACGAACTGTTGAATGAACATTTTCGATTTAAAATATTTTATTTCGGGTTCAAAAAAAAATTCTCGTGCTTAAATGATAAAGGAGTTGAATCCCCAATTTGGCCGATCCCACATCCCTTCCTTTTGCTGCATCTATGATAAGCTAAGGCCACAGATCTGACCCTATTGGGTCGAACACTGTATCACGTGTTGTCTTAGGACTTCGGTCAAACTGCGGTTCACAACCAGCTTCAATGATGAGATTGTGTAAGAACTGTTTTGTACTCAATTCATTTATTTATTTATTTTTTACTTGGCAGGGACTGAGAATGCAATCACAAAGTGAGTGAATCTGCTGCTAAAGTACCAAATTGAGAAAATTCTTCAGCAGCAACAATCCGAAATCACTGTAATGGTGGACGGACGATTAATTGTATTCTTTGCAAAACTCAACTATGGGATCCTTCTTCACAGCGCATCAAACATTTTTCCTATCACGGATTAAATGAGCACTGAAAATATCAAACATATTGATGCATATCAATGAGTATCAGCTTTAAGTAACAATCTCATCAAGAAATCCAATCACTTTATAAAAAATGTTTGATGCACTGTGAAGTAGAATCAAATAGTTGAGTTTTCCAATGAATCTGTTCACATTTTTTAAAAAATCAAAATTGTATTTGGAGGCTTATTCTTGGAGTTTAATTATTGCGTTTGATCAAGCACATTTCCATTCCTCATTAGGAGGACATCTCAAACTGCTTCAAAGATTAATGGTAAAGGTGTTATGACAGTAACACAATAGTAATTGTAATACTTTTTATCTGTTCAGTGAGCAGGAAATGTAAGAAACAGATGGGTCCAGGAAGAAAACCTGGCAGTCTAAGGGTTAAATATAATGAGTTATCCGTTATAAATAAATTGATTCATATAACTCCCTTAAATTTACACACCATAAATTCCAATTTGGCAGTACATTTTCATTTCCCAAAGTAACACGTTATAAACATTTATTAAAAAATCCTATGTGTTGTTTTGTTTGATGTAATTACCTACCAAGTAGACAGCAATTCCTCCTCCTATCAAAAACCCACAGTAAACATCAATTGGATGATTCTTATACTGGATGATACGAGTCAGACCAGAGATAACCGCACAGATGATGAAGGTGAAGACCAGCAGTGGTTTCAGCAGTTTGGAGGAGTCTGTCAGGGTTGCATTGAAATACATCTAAATGATAAACAACACAAGTAAATATTATATATGCTATATGAATTAGAAAATTAACTCTGTATATATTTTTTCTGTTGAATCCACAAGTGCCCATTCAGCAACACGAAGCTCCAGGAATATTAACTTGTCTAATTATAATAATAATCCTTCCATTTGATATAGCGCCTTATCACGTCTTCGAGATGTCTCAAAGCACTTCACAGAATATGCTGTAAATTGAATCAACTCTATATTTTGTGGGCAAAATTGTAACAGCATCTTTCAAAGGACCTTTCACAACTGAAGATACTGATAAGAAATACAGAAGAATAGCCAATTAACAGTGTGAGATTTCTCCTTCAAAGTTAAAGAAATTAAATAGCCCACCTTGAGCCAAGTGGGAATAGAATAACTGACTACACAGCAACCAGATGTAGAAACAAAAAACATTCTGTCACTGTAAAGCTGGTTGTGAAATTGCTATTATGTTTACATTATTGCAAAGCAGTGTTGCAGTTGCAGTTTAATGCTCAATCTTTTCAGCATCAGAATGAGTAATACAGTACCAAAATTAAGCAAGAAAGAGATTGCATTTGTTTTAATCTTCCTGTATTATCATTGATTATTTCACCCACAAATGAGGTCTGAAGCTCATTCACGTAGGTATTAAGATCCCAGATGCAATTAGTAGCTAATTGACAAGGATTAAACTCCGCTGGTTATGACGTGGTGGATGGTCTTAATTACTTACAGAAACATACACAGCTGCAAACGCTGCAAGGGTAGCATGCTGCGATGGAAAAGACTTTCTGCAAAGGAAAACAATTTTATTATACAGTTGATCCTTTAACACACTTATTGGAGAACCACCGGAGAGTAAAATAATTTCAAAACAATTAAATTCAACTGATTTGTAATGGTCAGATCGCTTCACTTTATGGCGACTCTATCATTTTTCAAATTTTAATCAATTTCCAAAAAGATCTTGCTGCTGGAAGATTAGCTAATATACCTAAATTGAATGTCAGATTGTAGATCGATTAAAGCATTGTTAACAAGATGATCTTGATATTAAATTAATAAACCCTTCAATTACAACAGCAAACTTACATTTGTATAGCGCCTTTCACGTCGGGAGGAGGTCCCAAGGCGCTGGATAATCAGTGTTTCGGACCTGAGCTGGGGGTCGGAGTCAGGGAGGGTGGAGGACAGGGTGGGGGTGGGGGGAAGGAGGGTGACCAAAGGCATGGTCAATGAGGAGGGTCTTGAAAAGGGTCTTGGAGGAGGCAAGGGAGGGAGCGAGGCGGTGGGACTGTGGGATGGAGTTCCAGAGGGCGGGGTGGGTGAGGTGGGGACGTGAAGCAGGCCGCAGTCCGCTGAGCGGAGGGAGCGGGCAGGTTGGTAGGGGGTTAGGAGGTTGCAGAGGTAGGGGGGAGCAAGACCGTGGAGGGCTTTGAAAATGAGGACCAGATACCATATCCTCTGTGTGATGAGTAGCTAGTGGTGTCGGGCGAAGGGGGGTGATAGGTTTAGAGTGGAGCTTTATATACATTTTCTATAAAGAGAAATGGTAGTGTAATTTACAGCTAAATTGACAAATCTATTCATGAGGCAAGTGTGTGCCTATACTGCGCTGTTTCAAATGACAATTAAAAAAAAACACTAGCAGAACAATAAATTGGGACATTCAGATTTTTTAAATTGAGAATTCCAGGTGAATTCCCCGATACCATCACTATAGGGAGTAAATCATTGACAAGAGTGGTAAAGGTAGGAAATGTGGCTGTGTTTTCAAAGACCGTGGAAAGCAAGACAGAAAGGGAATAAGTTCTTGAGAATGATGTAGAGGAGGTGTCGATGTATTTTGACTTTAACCCAAAGATTTGTTTTCAATTAGAATAGACCGTCAAAAATCATCACTTTCAAATTCGCAACCAAATTTTTGAAAACGCTCAAATATTCTAGTAATTTAAAAGGTTAATATTTGTTGGAAATTTAACAATGACATTGAATGAATCAGTAATGGATTGAAACAAATGCAGCAACTTAATCAATTAGGCTTTGTCAATTAGTTACTCGGTTTTTAATTTGTTAGCATCTTCCGTTATTCAGCAAGATTAACTGACAAACTTAGCAGTCAATTTAATGGTGTATTATTTCAGGATTTATTGACTTTCTTCAAAGCTGAGTAATTATTAATATCCCTTGCCATGCGCAGTGAGATAGTCATCACTGAATTGTGTACTGGCTGAGATATTGCACAAAAAGTCTTAAAAAGAAAGGCCACTGATACAGTTCCTCCCATTCTCTCACCACTGCAATATTCTAAAAGGTCAATTTTAATAAATGTTGTGAATCTATATTGCAATGGACTGGCGCATTGCATATTTTACGCCAAACGTAAATGAAGGCATTTGAAGGGACCAGATCTGAAGCATTTCACATTTATAACACTTTTACGGCTTAATCAGAACTTTATAGTATTATGGGGAACCTTCAACTACAGAAATAATTTGCTGATAAGCTGACCATGACTAGGTACACTTGCAATACTATTCCCTGTGTTTCTAGATGATCACTGCATAACTTTTGTTTTTCGTCCAACGTGTATCAGTGCGTGAAAATAAACATTGCATTTTGACACTTTAGTTCAATTGTATTTTCACTAACTTCTATGTTATGTATGTCTTCAATCTCTAATGAGATAAGAATCAAACAAAAAAAATACCCAACAAGTGAACTGTCACGCAAAGAATATTGATAGAAAACACTTTGACGCAACACCCAGAAGTTGGTCCACCAGTCCGAGCACACTTTATGTGGGGAATATGTTACATGAAATTAGAATGTCAGTGTAGAGATTTATATTATAACTAAATACTTTATTTACTGGTGAGGAATAATTACAGTGTTATAGCACGAAACAGGCCATTCGGTCCATCTAGTCCATGATGATATTTATACTTCACCCTCCCCCCACCACCACCTCCCTCTTATATGGCCCTCTATTCCCTTCTCCCTCATCTATTTCCTCTTGGTGTAGATCAAACTCCCAGGTGATATAGCTCAACCCTAGTCAAAATCTACTCATAATCTGCACCAATATTTTGCCTCAATGTTAATTTCAGAAGAGCACCATCCAATGCTCCAAAGTGACATTCTCTGAAAGAATGTCCAATAATTTTTTTATTATAATATAATATCATTTATAAGTGACTTTATAATTATTATTGTAAAGTGATTTTGTGATTAGGAATGGATCCAAAAGGAACTGACTTAAGACTGCTTTGATGTGTTCAATAGCATTTAGAGTCAAAACATGTGTTCCATCTGTCCAGGCTGGAACACACTCTTAGTCCCAAAGGTGAAAGGACTGTGTTTTAATTTATAGCACAAAGTCCCATAGCAAGTTCTATATTTAAACCTATGATATAAATGAATGGTTAGGTTAAAAAGGATTAAAAAAAACACTTGGAGTGTTGGATGGTTTAACTGCCCATCTGCAAAAACTAGGTTCCTTCTGAATTCCTGTCTGAACAGTAATCCAGGGTCGATCCTTCACCATCACAATAAATTAATACAGAACCTTGTTCCCAGACATTTAATAAATCGTGACTAAAGGTCTTGGGTTTAATCAAACAGTTTTTAAAAACCATCACTACAGTTTTGCTTTGCTCTTAAGAGTGCCACAGACAGGTTTGCTCACCCAGGTGTAATCAGTCTCTCTTACTCTCGCTGTGCCCCTGAACTACAGACTTGACACTTCCTCTGGGTTTTTCAATTTAAAATACATCTACAGAGTTATACTGCATGTATTTCAATGTAATGCATCGCAATGTGGATTAATTTGTAGCAATTCCTCGAGGGAATAAGGAATCCCATTAGAATTCCTATCAAGTGGAGCCCTATTCTGGAAGCAGATTGGGTCAGAGCGGATTTCACATTGTGTGATGTAATTCCTGTTACCAAAAGCAAACTGTATTTGCACAATTTATTCTTATTCAGAAATTCCACTAAGAAAATTATTGCAAATTAGACTTAGAAGTTTTTTTTAAAAAAAGCTTTGTACAGCAGTGCCTTCAAAGTGTGTTAACACTATGAATTGCTGGTATTCACATATTGCAGAAGGCTGCTAACACATATTAATAATAATAATAATAATCCTTCCATTTGATATAGCGCTTTTCACGTCGGGAGGACGTCCCAAAGCACTTCACAGAACACACTGTAAAGTGAATTGACTGTATATTTGTGGGCGAACGCGGCAGCCAATTGCGCACAGCAATGTCCCACAAACAGTCGTAGATTGAAAATGACCAATTTATTATTGTTTTTGGTTTTGGAGGGATTATTATTAGGCTCTGTGTGGAGTAAGGAAACTTGCCCGAGGTTTCGCCCTGCCTGGAATTGAACTCAGGTCTCTCGCTTGCAAAGCGAGTGCTCTAACCACTGAGCTACAGGACTCTACTATTGTAATGGAGATACAGACATGCATGCACACAGTTTCACATAATTATAGATCATTAGCAAGTCTCTTGAGAAACCCCACTAATGCCAGAAAGAACAAGACTGACCGTTTTATTTTGTTTAGAGAATAAGTTAAGATGTATTTGATGATTTTATTGATTCTTCTCACTTCACTTATCGTCTTGCCAGACATTTTTAGAGAATACTGTAATTTCTCACCAGTTTCATGATAGACCGTGTGTGTGAATCAAGAGTTACAGAGGTCCATGAAGGAAAACTGTTCATTATAAAATAAAGAATTCAAGGGCATTTACAGGTAAAGGTGATCATGCCAATCCTGAAAAACTGATTGGAATATTTTTAGTATGTATCTAAATTTATTAATATGATTGATATCATTTTATTCATCTTTCATGAGAGATTGTTTGATAAAAGTGAAAGCCTCTGCATTAAAGAGATTTTAAATTAGTTAAACAACTGGTGAAGGAACAGGAGGGGTTCAAATGTTAATTCCGTATCTAAAACCACTGAAGTATGAAAGGGAAATAAATCTGTTCTTTTTTTATTGAACATTAAGTTACTGTCTTATTTTCAACTGCATTTGTTTAGCTTCTGCAAGTAAAGCCTTTGTTGCACCAATTTCCCACACTGGTGGATCGATATGTTAAATGGGTTCAGAAAGGTAAAGTTACTAAGCATTTTCAACAGTCCATGAAACTGTATGAAAAGGAGAGAGGAAATAGGAATTGCTAAATCACTGGGGAGGGAATTAAAATTGATTTTAACATGTTTCCTTTTTTGATCTTACCTCCAATTTGGTGATGAACTGAATGCTATTTCTCTTCTTTATTGCCAATGATACTCGTGCATTAAAATGGTTTTAATGTAAACCATTAATTAAAAATGTGATTGATGCTATTTGTTATTTGCGTGCTGACCGGGAGAGTTGGATGCAGAACATTCTAATAATTGCACAGTTAAGGTTGAGATTGAAAGGATATTTCTGCAAGGGAATGGCACTTGACCTCCTGGAGTTGTGATGTCTAGAAATGGGGGTAATATTCGTCAAATCCAGCATTCACATTTAATGATAGAAGACTAGCAAAATGCCAAGAGAGAGGGGTTTCAATTTTGCTCGTTATCATTTGAGTTACAACTGAGCTGCTTCTTGCAATGTTTCTAACTGATGTCAGCGGCTTCGGCGTTCTCACTATCATTACCGTCAGTCGCACTCTGATTCTGATCATTGGTATAAGTAGAATAGGAAATTTGCCAATGACAGTTTCAACCGCAGTTACGATTTGGCTGTCTATTTAAAATAAATTCAAGTCTTATTCGAATAATTCCTAATGTGGATTATCAAACAAAACCTTCCACCCCGACTTCAGAATATTACTTTTGACTAGTTTCTCTGCTCTTCTTCTCCTGAAGGTGTGACACTTTACTGGTTGTGCTCTGGCCCTTTGCCAATCAGCCATTCTTCATGTTTGAGCCAAGACAGTGAGTGTTGGCAAGCACTCAGACTATGAGAGGCCCCATAGTGGAGGATAAATCTGTCTTCACCTGATGTCAATTCCTGACTATAGAGCCGGACACTGAATTATAATTACGAGTGGGAATCCTAACTGCTTGTTGCCGCTCCCTAGCACAGGGGGAAGCTGTAATAGATTAGCTAACTCAGTACGGTCTGGGATTTTGCCACCTGCTCTCCTGGCTAATAGTCCTGCAGATAAATTGTTCATTCAATTCATGGCTATGTATTGGACTTTGAACACAAGTTGGTTGGCGAGTTTGCCTGCAAATACACAGTCACTACACTTCACATATGCAGCTACGCAGCTACATATGCAATGCTGTGAGATAGAACGATAGAAACGTACAGCTCAGAAGTGTCTGTCCTATCTCTTTTAAGAATTATCCAGTCAGTCCCATTTACCTGCCCCTTTGGAGATGTTGGAAGCTAATAAGAACTATATCGAGCTGGCAGTTGAACATGCTTAGCTGCATTTCCTAGTCCTGTACATTCCTGTCTTTTTAATAATAAAATAAACAGGTGTACAGGAGTTAATCCCTCTCCTTTGAAATACATTCTTCATAGTTGTGGTCTAGTTTTCAATCGTGTTAAGAGTAAACAGAGGTCCCTGTCTTGTGAGTGGAGGAAATGTATTGGTATAGAAAACTTTGTTCAGCAGCTACAGGTCTGAGAGGTGAAGACCTTCTTAATAGACAACAAAAGCAAACTTTCTTAGGATAGGATTGAGGTGTGTATCAAGGTAATGTAGAGCTAACCAGAAATAGGTTGATCTACACCAGACCTTAACCAGAACAGTTTAAAATCTTTCTTTACCAAGTACAAATTGTAATTTGTCATTATTCTTGTGCACTATCATGCTGTGATAAAGCTATGCAATTACCTACGGTGAATGTCTTACTCTCAGTCGGAGGACAGAACAAATAGCTGTGCATCAGAGAAATGAAAGTCTAACCTGCCAGCGTTCATGATCGATGGATCTGATCCAGAGCATATATCCTCCACCACGTATGGATTCTCTTCACAAGAGGTATTTAATGATGTATAATTGGGTTTACACACGGTAAGAAAATATGGGGCATGGTACCCAGTTGAGAGCTGAATAATATCAGTGATGAGAGCTGTGGCACACAGGCCAAACACATGAACCCCTGAAATACCCAAGAGAAATCAAAAATAATTAGCATGACATTTCTATTCTCAGCAAAAAATCATGTAGTACAAGATACTTAGCATTTTAGAAACATGATCAACCCAATCAGTGTACTGGAGAGGATTTGGAAGTTGGGATTTTCAGGATGAATTCTGCAACACAGAATCCACACTTTCCGACAATATGTTTTAATTGAAAAATGTATTATGTTAAGACTTCTAGCAAGTAGATGTATTGGAAATGTGAGACTGATGACAGCAATCTTTTCAAGATAAATAGTTTTGACAGAGCTGCATGCAAACTCAACTAAGCAATCGATTTGTGCTGTGATGCATTTTTTTCTGAAAAAATAGTGGAACTGAACCTTTAGCACATAGCAATATTGCTGCATAATACTGTGCACTTCAATTGTCACGCAGCTAAGACCAAATGGAATATTTAAATCATCAAAAAATCGCAAGCCCCAATGTTATCAGAAATATTTAAATGTTTGCAGTCAATGAGTTATGAAACTTAACACCATGAACAACATCTGAACCCACCAACAAATCTGACAGCTCGTCTGAGAAACGAGTTGAAGTTGCAGCCACCAGCGTTGATGTTGGCCTCGTATCCCACTCCATTTTTTCTTTTAGCCAGGCAGCAGTAGAGAATACCTTCTCCTATCATAATCTGCAAATGACAAGAGCGATGACTCATATCACTGGACTGCACAATGAAACTGAAAATGCCTCGCAGGTTAGTTAGACTATTGCTGTTTTTCTGTTATTCATTATGTATGAAAACCCATCAATTTACATTTAAGTAACGTCTTTTCGTAGCAGGAGAATACCTCAAAGTGCATCACGCAGCTGACTAGGAGCCTGAGCTGGGGGAGGGGTATTCCTGAGAGGGGTGGGAGGGAAGGCATGGATGGAAAGATGGATAATGAGGTAGTGAGGGAGAGGGGAAGGGACTCCGGGTTGGAGTTCTGGAGCATAGGGGCAGAATGGCCGATGGTGGGGGAGCATGAAGCCTGGTGTTAGCTGAGTGGAATGGTAGGGTTTCTGGAAGTCACAGAGATAGGGTGGGGCAAGGCCATGGAGGGATTTGAAAGTGATAACGAGGATCTTGAATGCAATCTGCTGGGCAATGTGGAGTGAGGATGAGGGTGATAGGCTCACAGTGCCTCATGTGGGAGAGGACACAAGCCACAGAGTTCTGGATGGTCTTCAGTTTGTGGAGGGAGGAGCTGGGGAGTTGAGCAGACAGGATGTTCAAGCCTGATCAAGAAAAGGAAGCTGGTTTGTTGATTTATACTTGATACTTAGGGACAGATAGCATACAAACACAACCATCTTCTTACAGAGAGTGGAATTTTCAGCTGTAATATATTAATAAAAAAACACAATAACTATACTTTACTGAATGATGTGGAGTAGATGGGACAGTGAATTAACATTCTGTTCTTTCACATCTGGATCATGGGTTTAAAAATAATAATAATCCTTGCATTTGATATAGCGCTTTTCATGTCTTCTAGATGTCTCAAAGCGCTTCACAGAATATACTAAAGTGAATTGACTGTATATTTGTGGGCGAAACGCGGCAGCCAATTGTGCACAGCAGTGTCCCACAAACAGTAGTGGATTGAGTGACCCAAATTATTATTTTATTTTATTTTTTTCTTGAGGGATTATTGTCGGACGTGTGGAATAAGGAAACTTGCCCAAGTTTGAAATCCAGCCCAGACTAAATGGAAGAAAAAGCTCCCTTCTCACCTCTAAGTGGGGCTGTGTCCATTGAACAAATTGCGTACAATTCAATTCAAATTGTCAATCTCATCTAGACATATCCAATGATGGCTTGTTTGAGAAAAAGGAAGCAATGACTCCGGTACAGTAGGGATCCTCTGAGATTAGAAGAGGTTACAGAATTCTGCTTGGTTTGCAGAAACAGATGAACAGACAGACACGGATAACCAGCTGGACATGGGCAAGTTTAAGCATGCACTTTGCTGGCTTCATTTCTAGCTGCCAGACTTTCCCTGCCAATGTGTTGGTAATTCTGTCTTTCCCGTGACTTACTTTACCTATAATGCTTTGTTTTTGTTTCCATCCATTTGTATTAAGGAATTTTCGATCAATTTGCATTCACGTGCCTTAAATTTATGTAATCTACCACATGTAATGCACCCAGTTACAACATATTTTAATGAATACATTGAGCTCTACCCAAGAAGCAGTCACAAAGCGACAATGGTTCAAGCCCATCAATACAATGACAATGGTCTTCTCTTCCTATTCATGTGGGAATCCCAATACAACCTTCAATATATATATATATCTATATGAAAAAAACATACTATTGCCAACCACAAGGCATTTCTTTTAATTAAACATTACCATTATACACAGCAGTGAAATTTCCCATCACCCATAACGGTTGGATTAAGCTGAACGAAATTAGCGCAGTGTTAGTTTTAGTATTTTAAACGTAAAGTGCTTTTCATAGTATTATTGCAAAGTACTAACCATAGCTGCAGGTCCGGCAAAGGCCAAGCTAAGCAGCATCAGAAATGGGATGATTTCCTGAGTGGGTTCAATATATGGCATGCTTAGGGTCCTGTCATAGCAGTTGAAGCCGGAGTGAACTGGTTTGAACACATCAGTGAGCTCAAGAAAATAAAGACTGACAATGGAGGAAGCCAGTATCGGTAGCTAAGAAAAAAAATAAAACACGTGAGCCATACAGGCATAATGCAAGCAGTCATTAAAACAATTATTATTCAAGGAAAGATTTGCTTCTTTAACTAAATATCACAAGATATTAAAATATTAAATTGTTACATAGTCACGTAATATACATTACATACATCACTGAACATTTAGTTGTTTTTAACCAATCATTAGAAAAAAACAATTAGGAGAACTAGCTGTACAATATTCTATCGTCCAAAATATGTATTTGTTTGCGTTTTAGTGACAATGACACACCAGGACTATTTAGAGGTCTTAATAAAATAAACATTAGCTGGACTACTGAACATAATGAGAAACTGTGCCTTTATTGCATAACCTCTAGTGTATTTCAAATGCTTATCAAGATCACAAACGATGTCCTCTCTCTCTCTGACCAGGGCTCCCTCTGCCTCCTATTCCTCCTGGACCTCTCCGCCGCATTCGACACAGTCGACCATGCCATCCTCATCCACCGCCTCACCTCTCTCATCCACCTTAGTGGGATCGCACTAGCCTCCTGGTTTGAGTTCTACCCAACAAACTGCCTTTACTTTAATAATAATAATAATCCTTGCATTTGATATAGCGCCTTATCACGCCTTCGAGACGTCTCAAAGTGCTTCACAGAATAGACTGTAAAGTTAATTGACTATATTTGTGGGTGAAATGCAGCAGCTAATTGCACACAGCAATGTCCCACAAACAGTCGTGGATTGAAATGACCAATTTATTATTGTTTTTTTGAGGGATTATTATGAGGCGTGTGGAGTAAGGAAACTTGCCCAAGGTTTCGCCCTGCCAGGAATTGAACCCAGGTCTCTCGCTTGCAAAGCGAGTGCTCTAACCACTGAGCTACAGGACTCCACGATAACAAGATGACACACAAATCTAATTCTCCTCCTCCAGTTGCGACTCCAGATCCGCTGATGTTCTGTTGGCTTGTCTGGCAGACATCGGGGCCTGGATTAGCGCAAACACCTTACAACTAAAACGGAAGCCATACTCCTTGGCTCCCGTCAGCGTCTTCTGTCCTGCGGCTGGTCTCTTTGCTGGACTCTGCAACTCCCCCATATGCAAGATCCGGCTAAACCAAAACTCCACCTCCCGCATATTCACCCGCACTAAAACTTGTGACCCCATCACCAGTTCTAGCCAGGCTCCCCAGGCTCCCTATCACCGAACGGATGGATTTCAAGATCCTCATGCTGGTTTTCAAATCCCTTCATGCCCTGGCACTTCCTTACTTCTCCGACCTGCTTACCCTCCAACCCACTCGCCGCTTCCTGCGCTCGACTGGCATGTCCCATTGGTGGCCACTCTTTCAGCTCCTACTCTCCGAAATTCTGGAACGCTCTTGATTTATAACTCTGTCTTGCCCTTTCCTTCCCCATCTTCAGGTAGCACCTGAAGACCTTCCGCCATGGCTACGGTTACCTCCCTCACCCCCCAGCTCAGAATGATGCTCCGCCACTGTCAAGCACTCTGGCACGCTATCCTGTGTGAGGGACACAAAATATATACAAGCTGTTGCTGTTGTTGAAATTATACATTGCTGCTGGAGTCCTGTAGTTCAGTGGTTAGAGCACTCGCCTCGCTAGCAAGAGACCTGGGTTCGATTTCTGGGCAGGGTGAAATGTTGACCAAATTTCCTTACTTCACACACCTGTTTACCTAGCATTAAGTAGGAACCCGGTTGTTAGTCAATTGGAAGATCGCTTTTCTGGGGGTAATAATTCCTTCAAAAAAAATAATAAATTCATCACTTCAATCCACGGCTGCTTGTGGGACGCTGTTGTGCGCAATTGGCTGTCACGTTTTGCCCACAAAATATACAGTCAATTCACTTTACAGTGTATTCTGTGAAGTGCTTTGAGACGTCTGGAAGACGAGATAAGGCGCTGTATCAAAATGCAAGGATTATTATTATTATATCACTTAATATCACTGATTTACTATTAAATGGTACATTGTCTATACTTTATATTTTACTGCTTTACTCCAAGCTAAATCTACACTTTAACAAACCACAGACCTAATTTTGAAAGATCAAAGTTTATATTGCTGTTAAAAATGCACTTTTGCAATATGAAATTTTTGCATTGAAATAGGTGGCAAGTGTGCTATTTTCAGCACACTAGAGAGTAAATGTAGATGCAGTGACCTCTTTGCACAATGGAGGAATCAAATGCAAGGATTATTAGTTATATTATGTCACACATTTCTCACAAAAATACTCTCGGTTCAGCCTGACCAAAGCATTATACAGCTTTAGTATGGCTTCTGGTACGAAAACATTGCTTGTTAATACTAGGAGTTAAACTTTCATGAAATTGGATAAGATGGTAAGAACGTGGATAAATTGGATAAAACAAACAGCATATGGAGTCCTGTAGCTCCATGGTTAAAGCACTCGCCTTACAAGTGAGAGACTTGGGTTTGATTTCTAACAGGGTGAAATGTTGGGCAAGTTTGCTTACTCCCCATGTCTCTGTTTGCCTAGGAGTAAGTAGGAACCCAGTTGTTAGTCAATTGATGGATTGCTTTTCTGGGGTTAATGATTCCTTCCAAAAAAAAATAATTTGGTCACTCAATCCACAACTATTTGTGGGACTCAGCTGTGCGCAATTGGCTGCCGTGTTTCGCCCACAAAATATAGTCAATTCACTTTACAGCATATTCTGTGAAGCGCTTTGAGACGTCTCAAAGATGTGATAAGGCGCAATATCAAATGCAAGGATAATGAGACCAATACAAAGCCCCTGATGTCCTGAAAACCCTCAACAAAGCATCTCCAGACAAACTTTTACCTCAACCAAGTAGCATTTCACTGGTGTCTTGAAAAGAATACCAAGGGGAAGGTTTGGTTGTGTGACTATGTCTATTGAAACAAAACATGATGTTGCTGCTTCAGATTGGCATTCAATTAACTTGTTAAAAGGTCAAATTTTTATAAGAACAAGTACATCACATTTAAGTCTCAAATGCATCCAAGCATGTAAATGCTCCCATCGACCAACAACCCCGATTTAATGAAAGACCCACTGGAGGATAAATGAAAAAGTGGAATTGATTGATAGGTGCGGAAGAACAGATTATCAAAACGACAAGGAAGCCTGTCTCCACAACAAGTTCTTATGATTAAAGAGCCTTTCATTAACTTAACAGAGATACAAGTCTGAGATCATTTCTCAACTGTATGATTCTCAGTCAAGCTCCAAACATAAATGGAACAGAGTCAAATCTGTTTTCACCATCTAACAGCAGGCATGGAACCAAGAACCATAGAAATTTACAGCACAGAAGGAGGCCATTTAGTCTACCGTGCCTGCTCTGTCCCTCTGAAAGAGCTACTATTTAGTTCCCTTCTCCTGTCTTTTGTCCATATCCTTTCAGGAACAAATTAATCAATGTTAGGAGTAATCATCAATGTCCCTCTAAGATCTTATGCGTCTTAATAGTGCTCAGTGGCATGCATAAGTTCATTCTCCTAACGTGACGTGATTGCTGTGAGGGATCATTAATGAATTTACAGAACCTCATTTTAATGTTATTAAAGAGCTATTTGTGTGACCAGCTCCTCAATAACATTAAAGACAAACACAATTTCACTCGTGTGCATGCACATAGCTCCAATATCAGCTGATTGTTTAAGGCCCCTATTTCTGATATGGAATGAGAAGCATAAATTGGGTTTAGGGCTCCGGGACGCTACCCCTCATGAAGGGTGCTATATAAACACAAGTTGTTTTTCTTGTTGCTGTTTGCTGTATTTCTGGAGCTTTGCTCCCAGCACTATAAAAACATTATGAGTAATCATGGATGTGCAATACTCAACATTTATAGAAGCAATACATGTGTTTAACTGTAGATTGGTTCAATTCATTATTTGCATAAGAGAAACAAATTGCATATCTTTCACTTAGGATCAATGAAGAAGTCAGGATTAAAGATGAAATACCACAGTACTAGCCAGACTGGAGGGACCAAGGTTGCTAAATTTCAATTATCTTTCACTAAAATCAGCAGAGATTTGTTTTGGACATTCTTGTGATTTGTCTCAAATACTTTCACATTAATATGTCTCTATGAATCTTCAAAGCAATTTGAACAACACAGATACCTGCAAATGGTCTCTCATGAATGGTGCATCATTGCCATGTTAACTTCAATAAGACTGTAACTAACAATGAATCCTTATTGCGTAGAAACTATTTTATTGTTGCAAATGTCCTTACTCCTTAAGTGTTTTTTGTAAATAATAAAAACAATTAAAACCAAGGCTAGATAGCGTATGATGGGACATGTATGTTTGTGGAACATTGCTGTGCACAAATTGGCTGCTGTATTTGACTACAAATGCACAGTGATTATGTTTTTATAATGTTCTCCGCTTACTTTTCTGAAGGCAAATAGTCATGAGTATTGCCTCTGGTGGCTCTGAATAGAAGGTGAATATATCAGATAGGGGCGGGAACAGACTTATCAATGATAAACCATCCCCATATCATAGTTAAAGATAGTCAATGTCAACAGACTTCCATATGATTACCCCAAATTGCAATGGTTCACTCAGTATAGATTGTTCCTATAATGCCTTTGGTCAGCAGTTTGATAGTAAAAAATCCCCACAGGAACACAATGAAGATTCAAAAACACAGCAAGTATATTGGATTCTCCCTTTATAATGTCTAAAATTCTGTGGCAATTCAGTAGAGTATTCTTTACTATTAATATACGAGGAAAAGACATCTAGCCAATTATAATTTTAGAGTGGTAAGTTCTTCTGTCTTGGGTAGCGATTACCAGTCACATTTGGATTGATGTTCTAATTAATCCCTCGCTGCCACCAATCTAATTTTTCCCCTTCATAGTAAATATCAGGAGGCCAATCTATTTCCATATCTAGCTCTGTTCATTACCCTTGTTAAATAATGCTCTAAAAATGTACAAACTATTAGTATGGTAAATATGTAAGCTGC